GGAGCGAGAAGGGAGGGGCTCACACTTCTCTGTAAACATCCTGGTGTGTAAGACGAGTACACGTACCACGACGACTTAGCAAGTACTGGGGAGGGTGGGTTACAAAATTCCCGGGTCCACAAATGGTCCCGTTGGGAGCCACTGTCTCCGTGTTTGAGTCCCACACAGGGAGGGTGTCACTGGACGCTCGGGTCCATGCCCCCTTCGCTTTCTGGGCTTGGCCAGTGGGTCACTGTTTTCATTTAGTGGCGGCAAGAGCTTTGGATAGAAAGCATGAATGACCACCGTTAACGACCTCGCTTTCCGGTCTCACCGACTCGGACGATCTCCCACTGTTGACTCCTCGCTCAGTAGCATACTTCATGCAGCTGTGGGTGGGTGACCTCGAGGCAAAGCCACCCCCAAACCACGGCGGAGAGGCTAGACCGCGCAGTGCAGCTGGTTACAAATGGGACAGGCAGACCGAGGTGGACAGCTTAGGTTCGCGGATACTTCTTAACAGGAACAAGAACCACCACACCTTAAATCTCATCCTCTTGTGAACGTATAAACATTTCATCTTTACAAGACCCTTTTCTTATAGAAAACGCAGTAAGCATTCGTGTTCACAGAGCTCGAGTTTATTTTACCTTAAATATAGTTGCATTTTAAAAAGCTTCAATGAATTCAATGATTTAAAGGAAAGAAAAAAAAAAAAATCAAAGATACCAACACATTTCTCATGGTCCAAAAATGATTCCACACATTTTCTTTAGCAAAGTCATTTGTAATAGATTTCTCATATTTATATTCTTAGGTACCCATTTGTATTTTCTCTATATAAATACTGTCAGTTAGTCTGTCTAGTGAATTTTGGGGAGAAAAAGGAAGGTGTACATTAGTGGCAGTTCTTGTTAAAAAAAACACTTGAGTTTTTGAAGTGGGAAGGATTTTAACATCAAGTTCTACCCCGTTCTTGCAGATAAGGAGGTGGAGGGAGGGACCCTGTGCCCACCTCGGACAGCCAGGCTGGGTGGTGAGTGGAGATGCCCACACCCCAAGCCGGTTTACTTGTGAACAGAATGTCAGGAAAATGCCTCTATGGTTTCACTTAAAGTTTCCCTTTCTTAAAGAACGCCGAAATAATGCTCAGTATTTCCTACTGAAGTGAGAAGGGGGAACTGAATTTTCTTCCCAGTTTTGTACAGAATATTTTGTAGAGCAGGTTTCATTTGTAGTTAAACATCAGCACAAGCCCGTTTTCCCCGTCGTCAGAAACGTCTCGGGGGAGAAAACAAGCCCCTCCTCCCGGCCTCCGTCTGGTAATGGGCGCGTGAGCCCGGATTTTGACACAAAGAGCTGAACCTGGAGGCCCACAGGTGGGCTGGACACCTCATCCCACGCATGTGACTGTCACCTGCCACAAGCATGCAGGAGGGAAGGGGTCTGTTCATCAGGCAGAGAGCCAGAGTCAGGGCGGAGACTGGAAGCTGGCTGGGCCAGAAACGCCCGTGCAGCCCGGTAATAGAGACACCCTGACGTGCCCGCGATCGGATTCTGTGCGAGGCTCGCTCGGGCGGGAGCCGCTGGGTCTGCCAAGCGCGGCAGAGAGAGGCAGGCAAGGAGCCCGCACGGCCTTCGAGCTGCCGCGGGGATGGAATTAAACAGTGGAGAGTTTAAAAACAATTGCTTTTTAGCCCTTTAGCAATACTTTTTAATTGGTGTTAAATGTTAACGGTTCCTGTAATGCACTTAGGATAGAAACGTATTTAAATAAATAATATCTAGGAGTTGTTGGCATTTCTGACTCTTTGCTATATGATCTAAGCAACCAGAGTCGATGCTACAAAGTAGCCAATGTCCAGGCTTGTTAAACTGAGACACCTCTGGTTCTACATTGGAAATATTTGTGAAGTAAGAAGTCTATCCCTTTTTGGCCTGCATTTTAATTTACATTAATCGTTTTAAATGGTTGTAGAAATTTTTGCTATTTCCTTACCATTAAAAAAAAACCTGAATTTACTGATTTAGTCACTTTCTGTCTAGCGGTGACATCGACATGGTTTAATCCCTAAGGCTGACCACAAGGGTTGGAAGGGTGGTCTGGACAGTTAGTTGAGTGGTTAGTACCTTGACCAGTCCTTTCAAATCACCCGGCATTTTCCAGGTAACAGTTACCGTGGCTTCGAGGTATCAGTAGTTACTAAAAAAAAAAAAGAAGAGATGGATTATATATGTTGAAATCCAGGAGCTATTAAAGTTGTGAGTCTTATCAGGTGTTACGGGTGAGCTCTAGTGCCGAGAATAACGGGACAGGTGCTCCCAATTCGTAGCGGCACCTCCCTGTGTGTCCGGCCTCGCAGCTGCCTATTGTCCACGTGACCCACAGAGCCGCCGTCCTCACTGAGAGCCGGCGACGGAAGGTAACCCGGTGCGGTCCTTGCTGGACACTGCCCACAGCCTCTAGCAGGCATTTGCTACTATATCCTCTTCCATCGTAGATGAGAAAAATCCACCATCAGGAGGCTGCCTTTTTATTTTAGAAAAAAGTGAAAACTAAAAATTTCAAGACCAATCAAGATACACGGAGATATTGCTTAAATCTGAGCAGTCAGCCCAGGCTGACCTTCCTCGGAGAAACACCACGTTGTACACCCACCACAAGTGAGACCTCAAATTCCACTGTTTCCACTCGAATAATCAAGGGACGTAGTTCAGAAACAATATTACATCCTGCATTTTATTCGATTCCATATGACAAAATAGGGGCCAAGACTGAGACATCCATTCCGATCAGCAGGTGTGTCCAGCCACAGATATCATCATAAAAAATATTGGATCTAGGTAACAATTCCCAGTGGGTTCGAGGAGGCCCTGGCCCCACATGGCATCCTAGTAGAAAAATAGTCTCTCTCTTCACCATGCAGAGGGCGGCCTCGCCCTGAACGCAGAGGGGTCAGTCTTACGGTCCCTCACGAGCCATCTATGTACACGCTGTACAATTTCTCCGAAGTTATATACACATCCTTTTGGGAGAAGACAACCCTACACGGGACCAAATACTAACAACAAAAAAATTCACACCAAAAAGGACACAGATAAATAATAAAAACATTCAACTGCTGAAACACAGCAACAAGAAGCCATGGGCGTTCTCATCCCGCAGCCGAGACACCCCTCACCCCATGAGGAGGGTGGGCGGCACCTGGGGGGACATGCCTCCTCACCCCGAGGACACGGCCGGCCGTGGGTGACGCTGGAGTTCGTTTCCGACAGAAACAAACGGCTGAGTCTGCTTTTCTGAGAGTCGTCCACGGGCTCAGCGGCGTGATCTGTTGTTGCTGTGACTGGTGTTGGGGAGATTGTCCTACTTTCCTGTTTCCGCGGAGAAGCCTTGCCGATGCCTTCCTTGGGCACATGGGTGTCTCTGGGACAGGGGTGCTGGGGGAAGCTCCTGGTCTCAGACTGCGGCACGCTCGCCACGTACCAAATGAGGTAGAACGCGCAGCCCTGCCTGCCCACCTGCCTGCACACCCGGCTGCTGGGCCGGCCTCACTCAGGCCAGGACGTTACCAGCCCAAGACGGTATTTTGAGTGATCAGATGACATTGTGCTTTGTTCTCATCTGAGAAGGTCATAAATAAACCAGGGAGGGAGCAAACTTCCCAGTTATGACTGATTATCCTGCCAGACACCCCTATTCCCCCCCCGTTGACGGGGCACAAGGACCAGGGCTCCCTCACGGGTGTGTGAGAGAGACACACGACAGTGACATCGGACCTACTCAGCGTCCTCTTAGCTCCTGGCTCCCACGGTGCACAGGCCTAAGATGAATTCATCAGTTTCGTTAGGGGTCGGGTTTGAAAGTGAGCTTTGTGGAAAAGATAAATACATCATTTTAATGGAAGAATTGCAGGCCCTAGTTTACTGAGGAACTGACAAGTCCCGGTGGCTTTTCTGTGTGAGTAGCATAGACTTCTCATGTTGTCTGACCTTAAGACAAAACAAGAAACAATAACAGTTTTATTCCCCCCCATTTTTCTTAAAGTACTATTTATAAAATACTTTACATCTTCTTAAATCTTCAAATTATAGACAAACCTCCCTAATACAAAATACTAAAAGTGCAACAGTATAAATTAAGAGTTTGCAACACCTGATACAAACGTTACCTTTTTATTGTACAGCTCTGACATGTGAAATATTTACTCACAACGGTTTATGATGCTGTGGGTAGTTTACGGTGACGTTGGTCTGTACCTGGCTCCCAGTCGCTGGGCCACAGACCACACTAAGGAACAACTGTCCACACAGCAGCTACAAACATTTAAATAAAAAAAAAAAAAAAAAAAGGCTTGTTACTGACAGGGTCGCACACAAACAGCATGCTATCTTTCCCAACAGAACTGCACAAGGTTACCTGCATTGGAATAACCCACTTATTTATAGTAAAACAAATCTTGCTTTAAAAGAAAAAATCATCACACCGCCAGGCGGATTCTGCAGGACGGAAGCTGCCTTTCAAGTTGGGGCTGCGTGTCGGTTACCCGCATAATCGTGACGTTATGAATACTACAGACAAAGGTACTGTCCGAGGACACGGCGCTGGGAGACTGGACCGCGTCTTTAGGGTGAAGTTCTAAAAATGGAGTTCGACGTCCACCTGTTTCGAACGAGTGTCACTGGAATGCCGCAGGCCTGGCTCGCTCTCGGACGGCTGGGCTTCAGAAGCTAAGAGGATGTACTCTGAGCCCTTTCTGTTCCCGGGCGGACTTCCAGGGACTGCGCTTTTCTGACTTACGTTTAAGAGGTTGAGGAATTCTCAGGAACAGTCAAGCTCACCAAGAAAGGAGGACCATGTGGCGCGTACGAGGTGACCTTCCAGCAGCCACACAGCTAACGGGTGTTCTGCCACGGGGACAATGTTAGGGAGAACCTGGGCACGGCAGGTGGGCCGCCTGATGGTCACACGTCGCGGTGTGGCGGAGGGGCAGCGGGTGGACGAGCCGGAGTGCCCACGGCTAGTTGATCCCAATCTCCTTGTTGTCCTCGATGAACCTCGTGAATGGCCGGCTGGCCCCCGTGCTGGAGTTGGCTTTGTCCAGGCCCACCGTGGGCGGGCTGCTGCCCGTGCGCGCCTTGTCCATGCCGGCGGCCAGGGCACCCAAGGGGGGCATGGCGCTCCCACCCAGACTCACCGGGAGCTGGGGGATGCCCCCATTCTGGATGACAGAAATCTCATTGTTCTTCATGGCCAGACCGTTGGTGATCGCCGCGGCATACTGGTTCCAAAAACTGGGGTCGACGTTCATGGCTCGCGCAGCCAGGTCCTTCTGGAACATTTCTGAGAACTTCAGGGCGTCTCCCCCCAGCAGAGCCATGGGGTTCTCCACTGACAGGCGGCGGCCGCGCCTCGCAGGGGCATTGTTCCACATGTGCGTGCCCATGTGCACCTGCGTGGGAAACGGGAGACAGCAGTGAGCAAGCCGCACGCCCCAGGGTAGTCCACACACAGTGCGACTCGCTCTGCTCCCGTCCTGAGCCGGTTCTCAGGGTGGGGACGACAGGACATGGTTAGGCGAACTTTTCTGAGCATCTTATAAATCAATATGCAACGTTTCCCTTTATTAAGTACAAAAAGCAAAAGCAGCAACGCAGCCATGTTTCCTCCACTTGACGAACCTGACAGAACACCTTCCCGCAAGGTGTCAGGGGAGGCCCCCCGAGGATGTTCCGAAGCTCAAAGGCTCCTGGGCCTCTCCCCGCCCCTGACATTGTCTCGGACTCGGAACTCTTGGCTCCTCTGTGCCTCCCTCCCAAGCACAGAGGAGGGACCCAGGGCATCTGGGTCGGCAGAGACCTCGGGCAGCTCATCCTCGCAAGTAAGTAGAAACCACAGGCTGTGGAGGTCACCAAGACCCCAGCCGGCACGTGAGGAGGCTGCAGGGCCGTGCACCGAACTGAGGGTGGGACACTGGCCTGTACGTGTCCGCGAGCGCCTGTCACACACTCCACCTCCCAGGGCTGGAGCTCAACGACGGACACAGCGCCGGCTGTTTGCTCTGGCCCTCGGGCTGGGTGCCTTCCTACCAAATGCCCGTGGTCCCCTCAGCAGCCACAGGACAGAACAGCAGGACCAGCTCGTGGCCTGGGGCAGGACGTGCGTTATTTGGGTCACGGGCAAGTGTTTGAAGGCCCAGCTTATCTTGTTGTCTGCCTTCCACAAGACTCTGGACAGCCAGGCCCTGAGCTGGCCCACCCAGCAGGGTTCCCTGTCACCCCAGCGGCTGCCGCACTGCGGAGGCTGCGCAAGCCCCTGAGGGGAGGGGAGACAGCACACACATCAGTGAGTGTGAGCATATGCACAGAAGTGCACACATGGCACACACATGCAGACACTATGGCACGCACACAATACACGTGCACACACACCTGCGTGTACACAATACATATGTGCTCACACACACACTACAGATGTGCACACTGCACGCACACAATACATGTGCACACATACCTGAGTGTACACAATACATATGTGCTCACACACACACTACAGATGTGCACACTGCACGCATGCATGTACATGCACACACCAACTCACACACCCACGTGCACACATTCACGTGTGCACACCCACATACCCACATGAGCACACACCCACACATGTGCACACACACTGCATGACATGGGCTCCCCAGCAGCTCGTGCCCCTGGTCAGCAGAAGCCCTGCCTGCCACACCTCCGGGAGCGGAGGACGTCCCTGACCATGTCGCCAGGGCTTGGCGGTACCAGCCTGTGCCCTCACCTTGAGGTTGCCCTTGGTGGTAAAGGCTCTCCCGCAGATGGTGCAGCCGAAGGGCTTCTCCCCGGTGTGGGTGCGCTCATGGATCTGCAGGGCGCTGGCCGAGGAGAAGGTCTTCCCACAGGACTGGCAGTTGTGCTGCTTGGGTGTCCGACGCGGTGGGGGGGCCAGCATGGGCGCGAGGCCAGGGCTCGTCACCGCCTGCGGCCCGGCAGGCACCTGGACGGCGGCCGGCAGCAGGGGGCCCTCGCCCAGCGTGATGGCCTTGCTGTGCCCGTTCACTTCCATTTTGATCATGGTGGGCGCCGAGCCGGTGACCAGGCTAGGAGCGCTTTGGCTGGGACCTAGAGCAAAGTCGGGGTCAGATAACGGAGAAGGCAGCTCTTTCAGTCTGTGGGTCAGTACGTGCTGTTTTAAATTACCCACAGTGGAGCACCCGCGCCCGCAGACCACGCAGACGAACGGGCGCTCCTTGGTGTGGCTGCGGTGGTGGATCTGCAGCGCGCTCCTGCAAGCGAAAGGCTTGCCACAGACACGACACACAGCGCGCTCACACTTACCGCGGTCTCTGCTCAGGAACAGCAGGCTGAAGGGGGCCTCCTCCTTGATGGCCGGCCGGCCAGGGTGGGCGGCCGTCAGGTCCAGCGCGCCTCCGTTTTCGGGGGCGGGGGGTGGGCTGTCCGGCCTTTCGGTCTTTAGTGTGATGTCCTGTGGCTCCTCGTGGTTGCTGAGGCCCGGGGACTTGGAGGGCAGGCTCTCGCTGTGGCTGTTGACGGGGGACAGGGCCTGCATGGAGGACGAGGACTCGGACAGGGCCGGGCTGCCCGCGCTGCGGCTCTCCAGGTCGCCCACGGCGGACGAGGAGTCATTGCTGAGGCGGTCGCTGTCCCCGGACCCGTTCTCCATGGCCTTCAACGCGGTCAGCTGCGGGCAGCTCATGACAGAGTCGATCATCTTCATTTGGTTCTCCAGGGCGGCGATGCTGGAGATGACGGAGGGGGGCGAGGGTGGGCAGGAGCCCGCGTAGGGCAGCAGGGGTTTGGACGGGTCGCCGGCTGTGTCTTTCAGCTCCACGTCCTCCTCCATGGAGTTCTCGTCCGCGTCGTCCTCGAAGCTGCTCAGGGCCTCCGCGGCCCTGTCGTCGTATGGGAGCTCGGCGTCCATGGCGCCGGGCGGGCCCTCGGGCAGCGGCGTGTTGGGGATCTGGCCGCCCATGTGCATGCGGATGTGCTGCTGCAGGACCACGGCGTTGGTGAACTTCTTCTGGCAGATGGGGCAGGAGTGCTGCACGCGCAGCGGCGGCTTCGCCCGGTGCACCCCGAAGTGCGTCTTCAGGTTGCCCTTGGTGGTGAAGGCACGCCCACAGATCTTGCATTTGAAGGGCCGCTCGCCGGTGTGCGTGCGGTAGTGCATCTTCAGGGCGCTCTGGCAGCTCAGCACCCGGTGGCAGATGACGCACTGGTTGGGGTCGGTCATCTTCTTGTCGATGTTCTCCACCAGCTGCTGCAGCTTGGACGTCTCGGAGGTCTGCATGGAGTCCAGCAGTCCCCCGAAGGGGAACTTGGCCTTGAACTGGTCAGAGCTGGCTGCGAGGACCGGGCTGCACAGGCCAGCGGAGAGGCTGCTGTCCGTGACAGCCGTGGCGGCCGCCGTGGACGTGGAGGAGACCTGCCCGCAGGCAGCTATGTCCCCCGCCCTGGTGTTTGTGCAGGGCAGGTTCACGGGCTCTGTTTTGGGCAGAGAAGACCCACTGAGCACGGGCTGTGGGGACTCCACGCCCACTGGGGCACCTGACTCCGAGCTGTTGAGGCCGGGGGACAGCGAGGGGCACTCACTGGATGCGGGCGAGGGCCGCTGCGGGGAGCGGCTGGCAGGGGTGAGGCTGGGGGAGTCAGCATAGCCGCCCACTCCGGGGAGGGTGGGCGGCAGCTGCAGCCCCACCGAGGTGGGCACCGTGGGCAGCACGGGCTTGCTGTCCAGCCAGGTGGTGACGGGCTTTTCCGGGGGCAGTGACATGCCATAGGGAATCCCAGAGCAGGTGGGGACGTTGTCCAGGTACTCGGGCACGGGGTAGGGGTTCATCTGGATGTGGGGGTACTTCTCCTTGTGCCTCTGGAAGTGCACCTTCAGGTTGCCCTTGGTGGAGAAGCGGTTGCCACAGATGTTGCACTTGAAGGGCCGCTCGCCCGTGTGGGAGCGCAGGTGGATCTGCAGGGCGCTGTCGCTGCCGAACACCTTGGCGCAGAACCTGCACTTGTGCTTGAAGAAGGGGTCCTCGGCGCCGGCCTTGGGCTCGAACGCCGACACGTTGGGGGGCTTGCCCTTGCGGTGCTTCATGAGGGCGGACAGGGGGTCCAGCGCGTTGGCTGTGGCCGCGATGCTGGCCAGCGGGTTGGGGAAGATGACGCTGCTGGCGGAGGTCTGAGGTAGAAGAGGGTTTGGCAGGCTGGGCGCCGAGCTGAGCAGCGGGCTGGGCCCCAGGACGGGCGGTGTGGGAGCTTTCTGGGGCTGCGAGGTGCTGCTGCCCGAGGGGCTGGCGGCCGCGGCCGGGGCCGCGCCGGAGGACACCGGCCCAGTGGACTCCGGGACTGAGCCGCCGCTGGGGACATGTGGGGTGCTCGCCCCGGATGCTGGCTGTGACAGAGGCGGGGGGCCCTCGCAGGCTGTGGGCTGGGCAGCGGGGCCCGGCGCCGCGGGGACATGTCGGGCAGAGTGTGTGGCCAGCCCGGGGAGCTGGCTGGAGGCGGGCACTGGGGCGCTCTGGGTGCCCGCAGCGGCCCCGGGGTTCAGCGGCGGCCTGAGGGGCTGGCGGCTCATCATGGCCACCTGACTGCGGATCTGCTCGATGAGCTGCAGCTGGTGGATCTGCTGCTGCTGCAGCGCCATCAGCTGCTCCAGGATCATGGGGATGGCCACCGCGGCCACCCCGCTGCTGGGGCCCGCCGTGCCCGCCGCCCTGGCGCTCTGGGAGAACTGCGCCACGGCCACCTTGGTGCTTAGCAGGGTCTCCAGCGTGACGTTGGTGCTGGGCATGCTGTAGGTCCCAGGCGCCGGCTCGGGCTCGGGGGCCTGGGGCAGAGGCGGCTTCCCCGGCAGCGCGGGGCCTGAGCTCTGGAAGCTCTTGGTGGCCGTGGGCTCCACGTCCATGGGCTCCTCCTCCTTTTCGGGGGCCCTCACCTCGCCGCCCTCCCCAGCCTCTGGGGGGGCCGCCTCCTCGGCAGCCTCGCTCTCCGCCTGCTCGCTCGGACAGCTCGCCGCCGGGGACGGTTCCGGGAACTCTTCGGAGGCGGGCGCCGGCTCATCTTCGTGGACGATCAGCACCGGCGGGTTTTTCGGGCAGCTCTGCTTGTGCTGCAGGAAGTCTGTCCACTTGAAGAACTCGGCGCAGCACTTGTCACACACGCTGGTCTCCTCGCCGCCGCTCCGGCTGTCCTTGCCGCTGTCGCCGTCCTCGGCGCCTTCCCCGGGGGCCGCTGCGGAGACCGAGAGACTGCGTCAGCCAGCGCCCGGCCACACCGCCCGCCCGCCATCGCCAAACTTCGCACATACGTAAAATCAATATTTTTTATTTTGTACAAACGACCCCACTTCAACATTTCTGACGCCCAGCGTGTGTTCCGTGGGCCCCTCTAGCCAGCTAATCATTTTCTTAGCGCAATCCATCAAATTATGAGGCTCTATCAATTGTGGATACTGCTTCTTAATGAAATTCCATAGACGCCATTGATTTCCAATATTTTCATACAACCCGCGGCCGCCTGTCTGTGGGTACAAAGCCAGCTTTCGATGGGCTCATTAGGATTCTCCCTACCATCCGGCCTCCTCATTTCCAGCAAAATTAGAGACGCCTTTGCCAGTTCACTTAACATTGCTAAACTAATCTGTAACCTTTCAAATCCGCGTCAGCACCTGACAGCCAGCCGGCCGCCGCCTCTCCGGGCTCGGCCGCACAGATTTATCATCTTTACGCGGCGGGAGACATTACAGATTTAATGCGATTCCACAGAACCCTTCACACCAACGGGCACTTATTTCTCCTAGGAAATTTTGGCTAAATACTTGCGTTTGCAAACGTAACAAAGAAGATATAGCCCTCCTGTCATTCCTGCTCCAAGACACCGTCTCCCCGGCGTGCGGTCAACGAAGCAATCGGCCCCGCACCTTCGCGGCGCTTGGCGAGATTCTTACGGAGAGGGCCACACGTCCCCATTTTAGGGTCTTGCCGATGACTATCAACATAGTGTGGGCCTGAAATTAATCATGTTTCATACAGTTAATGGGCTCCATCAGAGGCAGTATTTCTGGGTGAAATGAACCCAAATTATATGTTACTGTTACCAGCCAATAGCCTTTGGCGGCCTGCTAACAAACTAGGAATTATATATTTAAAGTTCATTTACGTTGACATGTTTAACATGAGAATGTTGTAGGCAGACACACTTCTTGTACCTATTTCCATCTATTCTCATGGAAAGACTTAGCAAATTATAAGCTTGCGCCATAGTGGGAAACCTTCTAATTGGTTACACATGTTTAATTACTATTGTAGGCAGCTACTTCCTGACTTCCCTAACCCTCTTGTGCCGAATAACAACCACGTTTAATGAACAATTCTAATTCACACCTGATCAAATAAATGGCTGTGCAGGAAAGAGAAACCAACATACGATAACATTTCTCACGCCTGTGTTTCTGGCGGCACCCCCGAAAGGCAACGCTCGGGGGTGACGGGGCTCTGAGTGCTGCCCTGGACGTCCCGAGTCGTAACTGCTTTTTGTCGTTTACAGACAGAGTGACCGTCGGTCCCACAGACGACACAACCAGCTTCATCCCCGTGCACAGCCAAATGCGAGGACAAGCCTCGGAAATAACGCTGCTCGACCCTCAACAAGTGCACTTGCTAAGAAGTCTCCGTATTTTCCCTTATAGGGTTTCGGGGGAAACAAAGAATGAAGTCGGCCTGATTTCAGTAGAGAAATCTGATTTTTTTTTTTTTTTTTTTTAATATATCTATCCTGCAGAAACATCAGTCCCTCCACTGGGAAAGAAAGTAAAAATATCTTTGGAGGATGGTGTTTGCGGCTCTCCATGAGGCCATTACTGCCGGGTAATTTATATATGCCTTTAAAAAATTATTAGCAGTGTTCAATTAGCATTTTCGTAACTGGCTAAACCATGTGAAGGGGAAAAGTCAGAGTGTGCAGCTCATAAAGAGCTGCTGGACGTTTAAAGGCAAGCCAGGACCGGTGATCACACGGGAGGAGTCTCATTACTGGAGGAGAAGGAAATTGATACATGGAGCGAGGAGGCTGGGAGCGGAGCTGATGAGTCTGCAGATAGGCCCCGGGACGGAGCGAACACTCCCAGGACCTACCTCGCCCAAGGTATGCAGAATCTAATTCTAAACCTGCCAGGTCAGGATGCGGGGCAAAACCAACCAACAACAAAATCTGCAGGTAGAGGATGCCTCGAAGGTCAGGAAATAAAGACTGTCTTTAGTCATGCATTTAAAAGAGTCTCCTGTGACCCACGGAACCTCTGCTTTAAATTTCTTTGTACTAGTGGAATGTTCCTCTGCAGACCCAGGTACGTAAAACCTCCAAGTGGCCACTAAAAAGTAGTCCATCTGCAACAAGCCAGGTAGGAATTGACGTCATACATCATGACCATGATCAGAGTGAAATGTTTTAAAAGTTCTTTTGCAATATTTTAAAGCTTTGCTATAAAGGCCTGCCATGATCTTCACAAAGCTATTTATTTCAATAATTTCTAAAAAGAAAAATACCAAGACATTCAATGTTAATTCTAATGTTAATTCAATGTTAATATTGCTAATTCTGAAATGTTTTCCACCTTTAAATCCTCAGAGGAGATACAATGTTTTCACTTTTGTATGACACAGAAGAGCATCCACATGGTGTATACATTTGAAATTTTACACAATCAAGGCCAGTGTATGTCTCATTTGGAGAATACTTTCTCTCTCTCTCTCTGGAATATGTGTTGGGGACACTTCACTGAGTAAATGCTTAAAAATCAGGCTGATTTCTGGATCATTTTGAGTGCACTAAGTACGGGAAGACTTAACTTACTTAACTGTAAATAAATTGTATCTTTGCAGAGAGCGTTTCCCCAGTGTCCTCTGTGGAAAACTAGGGTGTGTGAAACAGAAACAGGACTTTTGTCTTACTGTATCCAAAGTTCTTCATCAACCCAAGCAAATCTATTGAAAGATGCATTTTCCATTTCCAGGGTGTTTTTCTATGTGAAGTATTTTTAGGGTTCATTTCCAAACGCATGGCAGGTGACTCCTCTTTTCCCCCACAGGCAGGTTTGCAAACTCACAAGTTTCTCAGCTGTAGAGACTGGGAATAGAATATTTAAGCACTTTCTACCAAATAATAAGTCATTTTGCTTCATGCAAGGATAAGCACTAATTACATAAGGAAGCTAGTCTTGTCAAAGTAAAAGCTCCTTCCACTTACATTCCTTAAAAATTGAAGAAAGCAAACCTGGAGAGAGGGAATTGTGTAAAAGTGGCGTCCTGACCACTTGGACCTGTTAAACAGTCCATTATGTTAATGGACCTATCAAAACAAGAGAATTGTTGGGTTTTATGAGCAAAGTTTCATAATAAATTTGCCTTTTGCTTAAAACATATTTTAAAGGCCACCATGAGTGGAGGGGGAAAAATTCTTTGATGCAATCTAGATTTCTTCTTTGGGACAAATAATTTTGAATCATCACCTACGATTTTTTTCCCTGGGGTTTGTAGAAAACCTCCATCACATGATTGGCTCTCCTCACTGACTTGTGCCTGCTCTGTGGTCAGAATCCGAATGGGACCAACATCCCAAAGTCACAGAGAAGCACACATTCCATCAGATCATCTTAAATAACACGCAGCCCAATGATAATAATAAAACAACAACAAAAAGCAAAAACTCTCATGTTCATGGAATTCAAATTTGGGGTGCATATTTTAAGAATGTTGTTAAACAGCAACAATAAACACTTCAATGGAATGGTTGGTGGGAGACAAGGAACACGAGCCTGTTTTACTGGGGACAGAGCTCTTTGAAGTTGCAGGCTTTGCACTCGGCGTTGAGACACGAAATAAGTTGTTCTGACTCAATGGCTCTTCATGTTACAATGACCGAACGCGCTGAGTTACTGTGTGTATGTCTAATCTGGCAGGATTTATTCCTCTTGAAACATGCTTTCCGTAATGCAACACATGTGGGAAAATCCGAATGCAGCTCACGGTTTTGTCACAGAACTTCCAAAGCCCATTAACCCCACCACTGTTACAAGCTGATGCTCAGTCAGATTTAGATGTATTCAACCAGCTTTTAATTAAACTTACATGTAAACTGGCCTTTGTGTTCTGAAAATGGACGTTATTACCTCCATTAGTTACTACGGCTGACACTTTGTATTTCAAGATAAAACTGTGTCCACGAGCCACTGTGAGAACAGTACAAGTTTGAGACATTTATTTCTGATGCAACCGGAAATTCTTTCTTTCTGAAGGGGGAATTGAAACACAAGCATTGCAAACATTATCATTAATGTCAAAGCCATTTATTTTTAACATAGCGACTACTCTGCGACGAAGATTTCAAATTGTAAACAGGCGAGGAAAGAGGCAGGGATTTATAGTGCATAAGAAAAAGCAAAGGAAAATGCCAGCCGATTCCCCTGGAGCCGCGGGTCTTGGGGAACAGCAGTCCTCTGTCCCGGTGACTGACCCCTCGCGGGTATCAGTGTGAGCAAGAAGCTGCCCTGGGGATGCCAGTCTGCTTCTCGAACCTCGAACCTGTGCCAACCCAGGGCTTGGGATCGGGCCCTGGACTTCACGCCGGACCTGCCTCCTGCGTGCGACAGGAGGGAGGGCACAGCTGAGCACAGAGCCAGCTCAGTGTCAGAGGAAATGTGTCATCAGTTCACAGTGGTCCCCACACTGGCTGCTTACGCCCGAGCTTTTCCTAAGGCCGTGACTGCTCGAACCTTCCTGAGGGAGTCTTGTTCCTTGCTTCCTCAGAAGAGTGTCCCAGGCCCGTTCAGAGAGAGCCCCTCACAAAGGACGATGCTAGGACAACAGCCTGACAAACACAGGGATTTTTCTTCTTCTCGCTAAGAACACACAGAGAATGTTTAACAAAAATGTTCCTAGTCATAGGATCAACTCTCTGTGTGAAGGGACCTCCCGACTCCAAAAAAAAAAAAAGAAAGAAAGAAAGAAAGAAAGAAAGAAAGAAAGAAAGAAAGAAAATCCAAAAAACAAAAACCAAAAAAACGCCCAACTGTTTCACAATTCTCTCAGCTTTAATTCCTGGTCTGTTATATAATATACACAGATCATGTTTTTCACTGTCTCCTAAAGAACAATGTGCAGGCAGAGTGTCTCCACCCAGGAGGATCTTTCCGAAGCCACGAGGGAGGAGCATTGTTGCAACACATATAAGGAGAC